CGCAATTGCAGCGCTACCTACTTTTTGTTTTTATAATTGTATTTTTTCTTGAAGATGTAAGACAAATTTGCTTGTTTTCTTTCCCTGACATCGCTGCACTAGCTAGCGTTTCATTGCTGATGCCTATCAATAATTCGCCTTCCTTTAAGGATTCAGGAATACACGTGTCCCATGACAATTTCATCTGTTTTTAACACTGCCCTGACGCAAAATATTTATGCCCCTGCGAAAAAGACATGACAACAGCGTTTATCACAGAACATCATCTTGCATTCAAAAGGCTGTCAAATCAAAAAATATTCAATCTTTCAGGTCAGAGAATCGTTAAAACAGGTTAATTTTTTGCTGGCTTTGTTCCTGCTTTGCAAACGGTTGAAAATGAAGCAGTGTTGTTTAGTTTTACACACTAGAGATGACGGTTTGAATCCCTGTGAGTAGAAAAATGTTTCAATTACCAATTAACTCGCCTGAGAAGCAAATTTGCTGAACTGTAATTCATCGCAATAAACTGAAAATTAGGCATGGACCAGGCGACATAGCTCTCGCACGCTCTGGTGTGACTGCACAAGAAAGACGAATTGTCTCTATTGTTCAGAATTTAGCGACCCGCTGCCCCTATCTTTGCTGGATGCAGAGAAACAGTTATGTTAATTTCTTGCTCAATGGATAATTTGCAGTGAGTAAGGGAAATTTTACCTGAATGTGGAATTTGAGTCGGGCACTTTGACGGTTCAAAGGAAACTACTGATTTATGGTTCCATTGCATTCAAATCTGAGTCAGGGCTTTCATGCATTTGCCTTTACGCTGCCAATGCAGTTTGTCGTCATGAATAAGACAGCTGATATTGTCAATACAAGGAAAACTGATTAATAAATTAATGTATTAGTAACTGAATAGGCGTTAAAAGCTGAATAAAAAATGCAATTTCTAACGCCACAGTGTTTGCGCGCTAAAAAGAAAAGAGGAATCGTGATTTTAGCGGCCGTCGAAATAGTGTTGTTTTTTTTGGTCTGCATATAGTGCTAATTGGATTGTAGAATCAGCTACGTAGTGGAACAGAACCATATGTTACTCACATCGTACAACACTGATGAACATCATTCTGCCCATTCAGGTATGACCACACCGCAATATCATGAGAGCAGTACACCATACGATGAATTGCTTGCCTAGTTGATTCGAAGCAACATCGGGTACATTCCTTACAAAGGGTTATAAGTAGTTATGACAGGTTTGTCAATTCTTCAGAAATCAAGCTCAGAAAATTTGGAGTTCGACGACAATCTTTTTACATTGCATAATTTTTCCAGTATTACTAACTGAGTTTCAGTTAACTTTAGGCAACAAAATCAAAACTTATTATAGAGAACTATTCAATAAACATTACTCAAAATTTATAACGTGTTTATTTCGTTCATTTCTTGAAAAAGAGGTTAATACGCGAAAGTCAACGCTAAAATTGTTCAATCAGAAACAGCGGCTTGCAAATCGGTCGATAAACTTTGGTCATCATGACTTGACTCCCCGTTGCAAGACCGATGATGCGGCTTCCGCCCCGTCTGCGATTCCAATTTCAAGTGTGTTATCCCGCGCGGTAAGCAGTCTAGTTTCGTATGTATTTGCGATTGTTTGATTATGCTTCTCACATTTTCGGCTGTGTTCTATTTTTAAGTAGATTTCCCATTGTTCCACGCTAGTTTTCCTTTGTTTGTCCTTCATCTCTGCTCCGGCCGCCAACTTGTTTGCTCCTGCTTCGACTCTGGAGGCGCCGGGTTTGATTCCACCAGAGTCCACTCTTGTGTGTAGGTCGTACTTTTGTTTTTTCTCTCATTTTTCTCTACGTTCTTACTGTAAATGTGCACTGCATTCGCTCGAATGACGGTTTTATTCTTGCTACGTATGTTCTGTTCTTTACCGTAAGTGTTGCTTGTTGTCTGTACGCTGTTTTCTGCCCTTATCTCGATTTATTATTATTCACTTTCGAACTCCAAGTGAGTACTGCTGCGTACGGAACAATGGGAAATCAGTTTAGATATAGAACACAGTCGAAAACATGAGAAGCATAATCAAATAACCGCAAATGCTTGCAATACTAGACTATTTCCCGTGTGGAATAGCACACTTGGAATTGGAACCGCCGGCGAGAAGGAAACCGCATCACCTGCATTGATAATCCGGCGTCGATGATGACGCAAAGCTTATTGACCGATTTGGCATGCCACTGTTTGTGACTGGACAATATTAGCATTGACTTTCGCTTATTGATTGCATTCCTTAACGTAAAAGGTGATAAATACTATTTCAATTTCTGATCGGCAGGTTTAATCTTAAGAATGTCCTCCTGTAGAATCGGTTTGCTGTTCATCTGTTTTAGCATTACTGCTGTACAGTCCTAGGGAAGCATGCTCACGACCACAAAATAATGTGTATTTTGCCAAACTTTAACAGGTACCTGTGCTTGCGGTTACTCGTAAACACAGTCTGTATTAATAAGTGTAATGCTTGTACTAATTTTGTTGCATAACGAATGATTTTATTAACACTAGATTAAACTTTGTTGCATTGATACTGTGGTTCACCGTTGACTGACAGCTAAGCGAGTTTTACTCACGAGGGTGTTTTGCTGATCGCATTTGTTGGATTGTGCGTTAGAAAAATATTTGACTGGTTTACTGCTGCTTGATGTAGTCTACGATTGATACGGCATGGCGTCTGCTCTATCGTTGGATATCCAGCGCAGAGGCCGCCTGTTTGAAACTGAAATCCGAGTTACACTTTGTGTGATTGTTATACCGGATAATCAGTTTTTGGATTGTTGACGTTGAATTTCAGCCCAATGAGGTGCAAGAATTTGACAGCGTTGCCGTACCTCATGCCCGTTTTGATATGACCACACTAGAACTCCTTGCTATCCCACTATCATTCGCTTGTTACTCGTTTCTCGGTTTATTGCAATGAAGTGGCATGGGGTATATCTGCTCTGGGGAATTAGCGGCTAGTAAATGGTTTACACTTCGTCGAGATTCGGGCCTATAGTCTAACCCTCAAAGTCTCAAGCTGGACGACTGACCAGTGGTTTCCGCTTTCCTCGTTACGGAGGTTAAATTCAGTACTTCTCGTTTGTTGATATACTTCGTCACTGTTCCGAGATAAATAGATTTGCTGACTTTTGGTTGAAGTTTGTACATGACTTTATAAATAAGCCGTTATGACATGGAGTCTCGTTCGAAGGTAAGATGAAAGATGTTCCTAGATTTTTTGAAATCTGTCACCGTGGTTCAGAAGTTCTGAACAGTTTTAACAGGAATCTTCGAGCTCCCGCCAAACTATTCCTTCGAGTAACTGCGTATGCTTCATGGTACATGCCAGAGTTTTTTTTCAAACTGGCGGCAAGAAATTTTACAGACTTCAGAACGGCAGTTTGTGATATCCCCGCTCTTTCTACATATAATGAGGTCACAACTGCGACGGCATGAACACGTGATCGGGATGTCAAAGAGACACCGGTAGTAGACTTTGCGCAATGCCTGCAGCAGGTGATCGAGGAGCAGACTTAGCAGTAGAAGCTCGAGCGTATTGAAATCTGGCTTTTCTACCTTTGGAACCTGGTTTGCGGAGGATTGAACTGTTGGATAAAAAACGCTGCAGCTGTCCCCACAATCTGAATTGAATGGTGGGATTCAGTGCAGATTTATGGTGGTGAGAGTCAGCATAAGAGATATGCATCTGGGAAGGGGTTTCGAAAATTCGATTGAATAAGGCGAGGGATAGGAGGGGCTTGCGATTTTATATTTCCAAAGCCAATTCTGGCTAATGGCCCAAGTAGAAAAATGGAAAGTATTCAGAACTTTTCTTATGTGGGTACTGTCAACTGACCACAGATACGACGGAGGGCAGTACGCGACAACGCATCGTTGAGGCAGACTTACTGGCGACGAGGACTATGACCTTTGCCGCATCAGTGAACGCTTCCTAATGTAAATCTGAGATACCATTTCTAAATGTGTAACGTCATAAATCTGGGCTATTCTGCTGTTTATCCTCTGCTAGCCTTTGATACCGATGACAGCAATAAACGACTTGTTGATGACGAGATCTGGGGTTTGAACGAACGAACTTCAGGGGTCACAAGAAACTTAAGAAGCGCTTTAAAGGAATAGATTTTCGTCAAAGCAGAGACGTTTTTCACCCCGAGGCATATGCTTCTGTAGCACCATTCCTTAAATCGTACCTAGTGACAAAGCCCACATAAAAATGGTGCCGTCGAAGTTGTTTGACATGATTTTGGTACCGTAGTTATTGCATGGGCTAGACGTGCGTTCGACTTGTCCTGCACTTACCTCAGTTTTTATTGCGCGTGCAACCCATTTCACGACTTTGATATCGTATTTTCCATCGTATAGGAAAGTAAATTTTAAGCCATGGTTTGTTGGCGCAGAAGGTAGACAGGCAAAATTAACCTCTGGATCGGAGCGGGTACGCTGCCATTTGTTATGCTGTTGAGTTTGACATGCCTCTTTCCCTCATTGCCCTAATATAATTGGTTAGTCAGCTTCCACAAAAGCGATGCGACACACCTTGTGGTCGCATAATATTCTGACTCTGTGAAAGAGTTGCTGTTTGCAAATCTAGACGTACCTGGAGAGGCCCTGCCATCGGTCTCTGACGAGAAGTTGATCTTGTCGATTGCACAGCAGAGATGTATCAGACTATTCAAGGAACATACAAACAATTGCTACTGTGTATGTAAGGTTCAGGGTGAAGTCTGCTCATCCGGAAACCTTTCTTCCTTAAGGGTTTTTTATCAATTTCAACTTATGAAAGGAAAATATTTTAGTTGTCGAAAAGCATTTTGTCATAGTGCGACTGATTTGGTTATAGTGCTGCCTGTGGGATCGATACGCCCGCCAGTTTGTTGGAAGTGTGCTTCGGATGGTGATGAATGTCAAAGACGTTCGCTTGTGTCTCTTAAAGCGTCGTTGTGCCGGGTGTTGAATCTATGTTCCTCAGAGGACTCTCTGCCATTGCGGCGCGTGTGTCGCTCGGTGCCAGTCACGTTTCTGCCGAACCGTTGAAGCGTGTTTTGCACGAAGCTATCCCCTATTCGACCGGTGCCGTTCATAACCGTGGCCTTCACCAGTTTGTCTTTGACCTTGATGAGGTGACGCAACTGGTGAATGCTGAGAACCTGACCGACCTGTGTTGCATTGAGATCCCCTCGCATATCCCGTTTGTCCCTCACATGATGCTATGCAGTGCCGCCAATCACCGCCATCTGTTCGCATCTTGCCAGCTTATCTACAAGGCGTACAAGTCGAAGATGTCGCCCGACCAAGTGATTGCGAAAGTTGAGGGACGTGATTCACCAGACTGGAAGGTGATCGATATGGGAAACATTGTTTTACATATCATGATGCCGGAAGTGAGGAAACTGTACGACATCGAGATGCTGTGGGCTGTCGGACCAGAATACGACGAGCTGACAATCGCCAAAACCGAAACTGAACAAATGCTTGGAGGAACTAGCGAATCACTAGAGAAAGACATACGCTGGTTGCAGCACTACAACAAGCCGGCTGAATCCGATTCCACGTAGCTTTTTATTCTACTTGACATTTCGTGTTCATACTTAAAATAAAGTTGCGAACCATCTGTGGTTCCGGTCCCATGTTGAATGCCCCTCAGGCATTTATGCCATGTTAAACGTCAAATGACGAATAACTCCTCCAAGACCAGATTTTATCGTGTATTGCAGCACCCCTTATTCCTAGTTGACTGGGGGAAGGGACATTTTAGCAGGTTACGGTTCAATGAAATTTGAGCACTTTTAGTGTCAAATGCATCTCACATCATTTTTTGCACTAGTGCTACCTCACACTACTCATAACGACGATATTTCAGGAGCAGGTACTCCTTATATGATGTCACATAAACGGCATAAGCTGTTTTTACACCCGAGTACGTGTACGTCAAATAACGAATGACACAGAATACCAGATTTCACGGCTATTGCACCGCCTCTGTTGCAGAAATCTAATCTTGGAGAAGTCATTCGTTATTTGAAATACTCATGCGTACGAACAGCTTATGATTTGCATATCAAACTCATCAGAAACTACAACGTGCGCATCCGTTTTAAACACACCTTCGATATTTATGATCGCCCTGACTAAATTTCTCACTATCCGGACAGAGAGTAGCGACATATTGCCCTTATGTTTTATTGATTAACTTTGCTGTGGCAAGAGACATGCACGAAACAGAATTGATGCGAAGTACGAAACATATCACGAAAAGATGCGATAAAACGAATTCCTTCTATCTGATTGCATGAACAGATCAAATAAAGAACTTAACCGCTCTGCGAAACGAGGAAGCGCGAAAACGTGATGACGCTTTATTGGCTATAAAGATCATTCGCGATTAATTTGTCGTTAATCTCGCCGGTTTTGCCTTTTGCTAGATGTCGGTGGACCTTCTTGTACTAAGTGGTAATTTTGCCGTAAATGCAAAGATATTACCTATCTTTAATATTATGGCTGGCAATGAGAGAAAAATTCATCGGTAGATCGAGTGAAGTAATCGCATAGAACAAAGAGAAACTAATGAAGAGAATCTGCCCAGTAATTGGTAACAAAATTAAAAGTGACGGGCCAAGTCCATCATGGTGTAACTCTTAAAGATTACGTGATAAAAACATGAAAAAAATGATCTTATCTTATTATAATCCGATAAAGGATCCTATTGGTAGTTTTTCAAAAGCAGCAACAACTGAGAAAGATGGAAAAACATTCTCCACCAGAACTGTTTACGAAAGTGTGAAAAAGTGTATACCTGTTTTTGAAATGAATTATATCGAGAGTGCTCTGGATCCGCTGGTATTCGAAGGCAAGGGAAACGGAAGTGTTTCAGTAAGTTTAAGCGTGATGACGTGTTCGTCGTGAAACAGTCACGATCACTCAACAGTCTGCACATTTAAGGAATTGTATTTGTTCTTCAGCTTGCACCCTTTGGTGCTGTTTGCGCTTAAGGACAAAAGTGGAGAAAACTCTTGACGAAACAGCACCTGCAGCAAAAACAGCGAAAGAAAAGTGTGATGAGATGACAAACACGACTGCAACATGTGTTAGATAAATTGTTTTCGGCAAAAACGGAAGGTGTGGAGGGATAGCAGCTGCTGTAAATAGGAAACAAGTGTGGAACAAAAAAGTAAATACGTGGAGAGAATCAGAGACCAGGACAAATTAAAAAACATGTCGGAAAGGAAATTAACTTTTGGAAAGAGTTTGAAAGAAAAAAGTGGGTAATTAACGACTCAAGTAACGCCAATAAGAAGTTTTCAAGTGGGACTGAGAATAGAAACTAAACAGAGCATAGAGAACGGAACGCGACGTAGGTAGGCCAGGCAATCGCTTACGGTTAAGAATAGAATGATTAGACAACGACGAATGACGGGGCAGCAGCGGCAGTAAACAACAGAAAAAATATGGATTGAGCATAAACAACGTAAATAACGTGCGTAGAAAGAGAGACTAACTTACGGAGGTAACTAACGAAAGTTGAGCGATGAAAATATAGGGAGAGAGGCTAGCAAAAGCAAAAATGCAAAACAACCTACGTAGCAGGGTACATTAAAGATATTTTTAGGTCTTAACGTGTGGAAGAGCGAAAAGCGAAAAATGCACCATTTATGCTGAAGAGCAGAACACTCTAACAAGATAACGGCCGCCACAATCACAAAGAAAGGAAGACAACGATGCAACAAAGGGAGACTAACTTCGAGATTTAGCCAAACCGAAAAATGAGAATAATCAAGAAATAGCGCAAAATACATACTACAATAAACTACTTATCGCTAGGAAAAACACCTTCGGAATTTGATTGCCAACAGAACTGAATACGCAGAACCAGCATTCAAACGGAGAGTCACTGATAACGTGAGGCTTGTTGTGCGAGTTTCATTTTGCTATTTATGATTAGGTAAAATTTACAATGACTTTTGCGTATCACCGTCGTTTGCGCTAAAGGAGTAAAATACTTTCAAAATAATTTCCAATTATTTGAACCTGCGGATCATTTTTGAGGCGGACATCGTATTCGGTGCATCGGGCAGCTCGTGCTTTTCAAAGAGGGAAACTAAATGCTTAATGCATTACGGTAAGTTGGAAAATTGTGGCGTCATGCGAAATATGAAACCATAGTTTGAAGCTAGCGTGCATGTGGAATGCTCAACCAGTTAGCGCGATGGTAAACGCTGCAGATTTTCAAGTAATGGGTGACATTCATCCTGGACGAGTAGCAATGTATGCTTATAGTGGTGTTTCAAACTTAGGTTGTTGGTTTCGTGTCTCGAACCTTTTAATTCGGCGGAATATACGTTACTGTTAGATCAATTCTTTGCTTGTTTGGTGATTTTTAGGGTAAAATGGATTCGATTACCGAGAAGCTTTTCATCGGAGGTTTTAACGAAGCGTCGGACATAAGATGCTTAACCGAGTTCAACATCGGCGCTGTTTTGACTGTCGCCACTCAGAAGCCCCTTTTCTATGCCAATGGAGTGAGTTACAAGTTCATAAGAGTCAACGACACGTTCGATGCTGACCTGTTATCATCGTTCGACGAGTGTTTTGAGTTCATCGACTCACATATCTCGTCGGGAAGAAACGTGTTAGTACACTGGTAGGTACTGAACTTTTATATTCGATTAGCTTTAAGCATGGTATTCCTATGGTTAGGCATGTTTTGTAATTGTTATGTAGAAGCGTTTCTTGTTTGCGGTACTGGACATTTGGGATTCGGTATTTTGGTTACTGAATTTGTCCAAACGATGTAATTCTCAGATGTGCTGCTAAAAACTGCTAGCGAGAAGAATATCCGGAATCTTCAGTTTAATTTTATTTTAAGGTAACCCAATGTAGTGGGAAAGGAAGCCTTTAATGTTGAACTTTTCTCCATCCTTTATTTGACACCCATTTTGTCGATCATATTTTTGTTTTCAGTGAAACAGAAAACATCGTTGAACAATTTGGTGGTATTTATTAAATGACGAACCACAAAACTGAGCAAGGTTTGAATTTAACCGAGGTCTGTCGTTCCTATATTGTTCCAAACTCCACGTTCATTTTATTTATTCGTTTATTAGTTTTTTTATTCTTGCAATGTAGTAGCGAGGGAAGTCAATAATACATTTATGAATCATAACAAACTCGGTCTTATGGGTTTACTAGCATACTGATAGTTTCCGATTCCGCGGCTAGAAAAACAAATTTTCTCTTTGGATGCCGGATTTAAACAGCGTACTAGCACTGTCTCCATGCTTCTAGTAACCTAGGGAAACATTTAAGCAGGCCACGCCTCCATGGTATTTGAGCACCTACTGTGCATGGATGCAGAACCGCATCACTAGGCAGGACCGAACCGAACAAAGGTCTGTTCGAAACCTGCCGATATGCGACTGTCCGCAAGCATATTTGTACATTTTGCAGCCAGGCACTGCAATTCCTCAAATACCGTAGAGCCGTTGCCTCCTGAAATGGTCCCTTAGGCAAGAAAAGCAAGAAAACGATGCTAGTAAGGTATAAAAATAAGAAGATGTTTAAACTTCCATTTATTGCTCGTCATAAGGAAAATCACTCCTGCATGTATGTGTCCGAAATTCTGTTTTACGCCTGTATTATTGAGCATCGTGGACACATTTCGCAACTGAGTCATGCAGCTTGAATGCCTGAAGCGAAAATCAACCCTTAACTTTCTCGAAAAATCTGTTAAGCCAGTAGTGGCTAACAACGAACCGCTGCATCTCAGCATTAGCTTAAATAAACTAGCTAAAGCCAGCCTATAATTTCAGTCGCTTTTTTCCGCGTACCTGTAAACCAGTGAAACGTATTTCGCTTACGATGCTGTTCGTGTTGCGACAGTTAGTGATCAGTGAGGGATCAGTTCGTTACTGCCATTCATGCCATTCATCATCAGATTAACCTGTATTCTTGATTTCGTAGAACTGTCGATTTGCAGTGAAAGTTTCTTAATGCAAATGGATCGCGTACTTGGTTTTCTGAATATGTATTGAGAGAGAATTTTTTGCTAAAGATGGAGTTCGTTTTTCAGAATTGCCATGGCTACAAAAGCTGATAGCACAATAGCAGTTTGCGCCAAAAATGTTGATTGTTTTTGAAATTGATATCTGAAATTAGTTTAAAAACGGAGGAATTGTAACCGTGCCTGGAAAATCTTTTTTAAGGAGGTCTCGGAAGAATGCGGGCGCAGCGTATGAGGTGGGACATGATTTCGCGAGGGATTGACTGGTGTTTTAAATCGAAAGTAGTCGAAGTGTCTCTCTGTAGATTGCATGCAGAATTTGATTACATATTATCCAACATGCGGTTTTAAGCTATACGTGCCGTTGATGACGATATCCAGAGATTCTCTTGTCGAGTCCATTGCGAAACTATTAGTATTATGATCTGATTCGGCCTAGTCTGATTCAAGGAAGCCATTTATATTAAAGTGCTTCACTTCAAATATGCATTCTACTATTTTACTTGAATTCACGACCAAGCTGATGCACTTAACTTGTGTAACCGCTGCCTCCGAAAGTCCTCTTAGTGGGTGAAGTCAGATTTTGATCTTATTTGACTGGTGAAGGCAGGATGACAAGCATTTTTCATGCCAGGAATTCCTGTTCTGCTCTGAACGTTTCTTATGTACAGCGTGGTGAAATTAAGCAATAATTGGTAACGCTGCATCACTTTTCTCTTCTGAGACACATGATAAAGCAGGAACGATTGAGACGGACAAACTGCCATTGATTTGGAAAGGGCATTCATTGTTATTTCAAAATGTGAGACTGCGATGATGATGGATATCCAGTTATCTTGGCCAGCGTAAAATGTCGAAACTATCGGAAAAAGTTATAAGGTTTGTTTTCAGACTGCACTCTCCTTGAACCAGTGAATTGAACGAGACAAGGCAGATCATTAATCATGCTTCATCTGCGTTTGTAAGCAAACTTATGTAGATGAGAATAATGCAGCGTGGCTTCAACGATGTAGAACTTGTCAAAGTTTCAGTGCATTTTAACACTCAAGGCATCAATCTGATGCACCAGTTGAATGTGTGATTTCAACGAGAAGGACCATACTTGGAATACTTTGGCAGCAGGCACATTGGAATAGTTTCAGGAACAGAAACGTTCATCGAAAACAAGCTATGTTTGTTCGGCCATGCGGAAGAAGACCCGGCTATTGCATGGGAATGTTAACTGAAAAATTATAAAGTCTGGGAATAAACGAAGTGACGGACCAGAGAAAAGGGATCATGACGTTCAGAATGACATGAAGTTGCGCTGGTGACCGAAGACCTGGCTATCGCTGAAAAGGCGCAGAAGAAATTGACGCTGTTAACAGCGAACCTCTGTTAAGAGAAATATGCTAGGAAGTAGAATAAGGTTTCGAGGCATTTCGGTTGGATGGTATGACTGCGATTGGGGTGTAGTCAGTTTACAGCCTGACCAATATTCTTGAGACAGTGGTGATCGAGCCATCCTTCGGGAGCAGATGTGCGGTCGCTTTGCAGACTCAAACTGGTAGAATGATCAATATCTGGAAGAGTGTGACTGTATGAGAGTTTTGTAAGGTCGCTCGTATCACATTTAGATCTTGAAGCAGAATAAGTTCGACAGTTTGTTTTTTCCCCTGTGCTTTAGGTAAAGTTGTTGGCGGGTATAACTAGGTTGCGGAAGCTGAAGTGGCAGTGGTCACATTTGAAGAAGAACCGACCGTCGCTGGATCAGAGATTCATCAGACTAGTGTTCCAAGTGACAGTTAATTGCCCTTCAGAATACCTCAAGATCGATGACAGGATGAACTGATGAAGTTCTTTGGAACAAGATAGATAAGTTTAGCAGAAAACAAGAGTTAATGACAAAGTCTTGGAGAGGCCTTCACTCTGCAGCAGACTGACAAGGGCAGTTGATGATTACGATAACGTGGTTGCTAAATCTACTGCAAAGAAACATATTTTATTCAACTTATCTTCTTTGAGGACACACTACCAACGCAAGTGGACGCTCCAAGAATATTCGCTGT